GCCTTAAGGACCCTACATAAGTCTATGGGAATTCTTGGTATGTTCCTTATTACGGGGAAAGGCAGGATTTAGATCATCAGTCGTAGAAGTCTTCAAGGTGCACCCACAAAATGCCGTGCGAACAGCACCTGCAACCATGAAGACGTAAACCCCGATCCCTCGAAGCCCCTATAGTACCAGTATAGAATCTTCGCATTAACCCGTCTGGAATTCTGTCTTCCACTTCCTTAAAATACCTATACGAAAATATCCTCTAGTGCTCATTCACTGCAAACCAAAAGCCCTAAACCACCCTAAAAACCCTAAACCCTAAGCCCTATCATGTTGTTCAAAAGAGCACATGAAAGGTTTCTCGCCGATGGTCGTTGCGTGTGGATTTCTTGGGCTTGCCATGAACCTTGGAGTGAAAGAGAGTTCGGCTTTCGACTTTCTGGGGCTTGCTTCAAGGGGCCCCTTTATACGGTTCTATAGGGATTGTCAGGGCTTAGTCTTCAAGGGGCTCCTCTATAGCTTCTATAGGGTTTGTTAGGGTTTAGCCTTTAAGGGGCTCCTTTATAGGGTTCTATAGGGTTTGTTAGGGCGTAGCCGTTTGAGGGGCCGCTTTATAAGGTTCTATAGGGTTTGCTAGGGCTTAGCCTTTAAGGGGCTCCTCTATAGGTTCTACAGGGTTTGTTAGGGCTTAGCTTTAAAAGGGGCTCCTCTATAGGTTGTATAGGGTTTGTTAGAGCTTAGCTTTTAAAGGGGCTCCTTTATAGGGTTCTATAGGGTTGTTAGGGTTTAGGGTTTAGTTGTTCAATTCAGGGTTAGAGTGAAAGTGAGTTTGTTTTTTTCAGGGTTGAAGGGCCTCCTCTGAAGTGTTCCTGTATGGGCTCCATGAGGATACTGTGTGGCTTTGGGGATCTAGGGTATAGTTTAGGGGTAGGGTGTGTTAGTGTGCCTGCTCCCATGATAGGCTCCTCGTGAAAGGACCTTCGACAGGGACCCCGATTTCGAGCAAACCCTAACCCTCAAAGGCACCAAATCGTGGTTGAGCCGCAGACCCTACGCAGGGTAAGCCCTCAGCCTAACAAAAATCTTGATCCTTGTACAAACGGCTTTAATGGCAACATTGAGTTGGGATCCCCGAAAAGCTAGAATATTCCCTACTCCTCTAAACCCTCCCTAGAGCCTTAGAGTTCATCCAGAAGCGCTTCGCTTCGGATTGTCCCATGACTGCTTACCTAAACCTAAACCCTAAACCCTAAACCCCAAACCCAAACCCTAAACCCTAAACCCTAAACCCTAACCACCGCAGAAACCAGACGCAAAACGCCTGAGACCCCAAGGCCTTCTTTAAACCTCAGAGCACCCGGGACCCAAAGGCTCTCAGCCTTAAAAGACCCTCGCCCGGAGAGTCCTAGGTACTGTTATGGGGGGATACTTCCCTGAATCAAAATAGATTCCTAATATAGAAGCCCTAAACCCCTAAACCCTAAACCCTAAACCCCTAAACCCCTAAACCCTAAACCCTACATTCTACTATTTAGGCACTAAGGACCCTTGGGGAACTAGGAGGATCCTTTAAACTCAGATTCGCCGCCGATAGAGGACCCGTCAACTCCGGGGCTTAGGGTTTAAAGTCTCTTGCCGGTTTAGGGGAAAGGGGCTGAGGGTTTAGGGTCTTAAGGGTTTAGGGGCTTAGGGGTTTAGGGGTTTAGGGCTTCGGGGTTTAGGGTTCGGGAACCCTAAAACGACAAACCCCGTCAGCTGACACGTCCCATCGGCCGCAGAAGCCCCGAACGCGCTCCGCTATACCAAGCTTTCCTCATAGGGACCCTTAGAGGGGAGGGGGGTAGGGGTCCGTAACACCAGTCAGTAATAATAATAATCATCATAATACTAGTAAGAAGAAGAACGACCTAAGCAGGCCTATTTCCCTTACCCCCCTCCCCCCTACCCCCCATAAAATTCCCTCTGATTCCCAGGACCCTGCTAGACGCCTGGATCTTCCAGGTGCTGCCGGCGGTTCCAAGTAGAGAGCCTGCCCCCTAAACTCACTTCTTTAACCCGAGGCTTCCAGGGACCTTATTATTGGGTCCTTAAGGGGTCTAGGGCCCTAACTATAAGTTGCTTGGAAGCCTAGGGTAAGTCATTGCTTTCACCCTAAACCCTAAACCCTAAACCCTAAACATGCATGTGCGGCAGACGAGGTGCCTTGAGTGCCGGCCTAAACACTGAAACCAACCCCAAGGGTTTGGGATTTTCGGTTTAGGCTTCTAGGGTCTCGGTTTTCGGGCTTAGGGATCAGGCCCTGACCATAGTTGAGGGTGAGGGCTTTAGGGTTTCAGAGTTATAAATCCTAAAATCCTAAACCCTAAACAGTTATAAATTATTATAAAGGGCCACAGACTCGGGTGTATGTGGCATAGTAAAATAGTATATGTTGGATGTAACCCTAAGACACCATGTACCCGTAACCATATGGTATAGGCTCGGGCCCTAAAGCACCTAGATAGGTACTGCGTTGAGACATAAGAACTTGGTGTATGTGAATACATGGACCCGTAGGGTAGTTTGATGTGGCATATCACACAGAAAGCCTGATAGTGTAAGGCATCAACACAGCATAATGTTGCGTTGCACCGTATGCGTGCAGATGTAAATACACACGCACACAGACACCGGCGCACCAATAGTTGGCACAGGGCTTTGGGGCACGTGCTGCTTGACAGGCACAATACCCATAGGCTCCTTAGTAGTTCCTGTTTGCGGTTCATATATTTAGGATCCTAAAAAGTAATCCCAAAAAGGAACTACTAAGGAGCCTATGGGTATTGATACTTGTTGAGTCTAGTGGACCCGGCAACCCGAAAGTGCTGCAATAAAGCCGGTACCCTAAGCCTTGAACCCTAAGCTTCTGGGTTTCTTTAGGGCTTAGGGTTTAGGGTAGGGGATGAAACCGAAAACCCTAGACCCTATAGTCCCGAACCCTCAGCCCCTAAACCCTAAATCCCGGAGACTGTATAGTCCCTAAACCCTGAACCCCTAAGCCCTACATAAACCCCTAGACCCTGTAGTTAGTCCCTAAGCCCAGTACCTCCGGTCATGAACCTTGGACCTGATAACCCACGCCACCCGGCTCAGTTGCCTCCACATGGACGGCTGGCGGTTGCGGTTAAGGTGTACGCCTTTGGGGTGTGGGTTTAGGGTTTAGGGTATATGGTATGGTGTTTAGGGATGTTTAGGGCACCAGACCCTGCAATTACAATCTCATGCCGATCTCCGACAAGAGCCACTCATCGTAGATTCTCATCCATAACCATTCGCAAGTAAACTTAAACCCTCCATTGAATTGAAGCGCTTGGTCTTCAGTGACATTTACTTCTGCCTTCGGAGGATCACAACATTGAGCAGGGTCAAGATCCAGGGCGGCGGTTCTGAGCACCGGATGTCAGATAGGTGGAAGGACGAAGCTCTGGGCCGACCAGGAACAGGTGGAGACTTGGAGCCTCATGTGGAAGTACTTGTTGGCTCATGGTTTCGAGCGGCATGCCTTGGTCGCAGCGCAAGCCCGACCCTCCGCAGAACATTCGCTCTCACAGCGACTGCTTCGAACCATGATCGCTGGCTGGGTGGCTGGGGTTGTGGCATCAATGGACGACGAAGGACTTTTCCGTGGTGTGTGAAGAAAAGGGAGTCCGACCGTTCCATCCAAACTGTAACAGAGTGTCGGATGTGCTTAAATGTGCCCTGTGATCTTTCGGGCTCGATCGTCCAAGGAAGTTTCGCTACACATTGAGTTGGCGAGACTTAATTTGCATTTCATGTGAGATTCCTGCGTACTGCAGGATGTGTAGATATTTCCCATAGGTCTCCCAGACCTTTTTCACAACTCCCGCAGCTTTGCTAGCATTTCGTACAGCCTACCGGTGGCTGCTCCCAAGTTTTATGCTTTCCCATAGCAGTCCCAGCACAGAGGACGTGCGATTCCCGGGGTACCCACTCGGAAGGGATGATGGCCCTCTCGTATCCCATATTCCCGGGTACAGGATTTGCTCGGGCCGTGCTTTCAATGTTCTTGATTTTTCATGATTCAGTTTTGCAGTCTCAAAACCTGTTTAATTTTGTATACTTGTGCAGATGAAAGGCTTATCATCCCACGCCTCATGCGCAAAGTATCAGTCTTGAAGTGGGAAATGAGCGCAGCCGTGCAGGCCGAGAAGTGTTGAGCGGAGTAATTACAAAGTCGTAAACCGCCAGCTCCTTGAGGACGAAATGGGTCTCTTGGTTACTCAATAGTGGCCGGTGATGATGGCCCCGTCGGATCCAATGCTGCCGCATCAAGGATTCGGACAGAACCGTGGTCGACAATGTCGCCGCAGGCTTGTGCAGGTAAGCTGTCAACACGTCCCTGCTTCTCATACCCAGGGTTATACTTGTCCAGACGACCGCCGACTTCCCATGCTTAATCCCGACAAGTTGTTTCACTCATGTGGAATGGGGGAGAAAGAAAGCTTCCGAGTGACCTACAGTGTCAGCCAAATACAGCGGCAGCTATCTTTTCCTTCGAATAACGGCAAGTTCATGCTCGAATATTAGCACTAGTGGTTCAGGCTTCATGCAATTCGAACTGATGCTAAACGCCTTGATTGCAGACAACATCATCAGCCCTGCCCGAATAGTGTATCTCGACAGTGGGGGCAAACGAAATACACTCCAGCAGTCTTCCAGTCATGATATTGGGTCAACGAAGTAGCAACACAACTGTGTTTTGGGGCTTTTCCTATAGGTGATTTCGTCGTTCCACGCACGTACAGAAATTCACGCCGGCCAGCGCCAGCTTTCTGCTCAACAAGTAAATGTTTTGTGAAGCTTGAGTAGCACCATGGATGACAACACATAATTGTCGGAGTTCCCTCAAACTTAGCTTGTTCAAGTACCAGCTATTTGCACACTCGTTCGCACACCAAGTCCTGCATAAATCTCCAGCTATATCTTCCAGTTCTGGCCAGAGGGGTGAGCAATTCAGGTGTTGCGATGTTTCAGTGTTGCGCCGGGTCTTCTTCCGAATGCTTCGTGTCTGGAGACCTTCCGGCCAAGAGTTGGCTGCGGTGAGTGCGGAAGCGTTCCAAGATGCAGCCGACCTGAAGTGGTATCTGTGTAAGCAGTATGGGTTTCCTGTGTTCATGCAGCAACTTGTGCATGACACTGGTCCTTTAGCGGACGGCGCGAAGCTGGATGCCTCAATGGATTTGCAGTTGGTGCTGCTTACCCTTTCCGGTCCAGATCAAACAGGCAATGCTGCATCTATAGCTCGGGTATACTTGGCACGTGCTGCCCAAGTGAACCACATTGATATGGTCCGATGCTTGTTGGAAGCTGGTGCTGACAAAGATCGTCCAGACCATGAAGGCTTTACACCCCTAATGCTCGCATCTGCACATGGTCACTTACGGATTGCCCGCATGTTGCTTGAAGCTGGCGCTGCCAAAGACTGTTGTAACCATGCGGGCCTGACAGCCTTGATGCTTGCATCAAAACATGGTCATGCGGAGATTGCACGTGTGCTGCAGGAAGTTGGTGCCGACAAAAATCGCCGGGACAATGCAGGCATGACAGCATTAATGTTCGCAGCTGCAAGCGGCCACTTTGAGGTTGCAAGCTTACTGTTGGAATTTGGGGCTGAAAAGGATTGCTGGTGCCTAGCCGGCAAGACCGCCCTAATCCTCGCATCTCGTCATGGTCACGCGGAAATTGCACGTTTGTTGCTGGAGTCTGGTGCACATACGGATTGCTGGGACCAAAACGGCATGACGGCCCTGATGCTCGCTTGTCGGTTTGGTCACCTGCAGGTTGCGCGCTTGCTGCTGGAGTTTGGTGCTGAGAAAATGTGCTGGGACCAGAGCGGGTTGACGGCTGCTATGCATGCGCTCCAGAATCATCACTTAGAGGTTGCTCGCATCCTAATGGAAGCTTGAGACCAGAATGACATGGCGGTCTTCGCCTTCGTGTTGCGGGTGGTAAGTGCAGGAACACTCTGCCGATGACGGGCGTCGCCACCATGTTGAGACAAACACTTGGCAGGATGGCATCCGAACTCCCAATCTTTAGTTGGCAGTCTCGTAAGTAAACCTGAAATCGTGCTACAAGCTAGCGGCCCGCCCAGTTGACGACCTGTCGCGCAGCAGTTAATCCTAAAGCCCCGACCTCAAAGCCCGAACGATTCTGAGATGTCTGAGAAAACACGAAAGATCGAGAACAACGGGCGGAAGTGCATTCCTGAACTCAGATTTCACTAGCTGGCCGTTTGATATACCTCTCTGTCGCCTTTATGATCGTACAGATGAATGTTTTTGGGGCACCCCGTTAAAAGGGCTGGACCGAGCTTAGCTTTGGGCTCGTTGCTCACCATGCTGCATGGATAGCTTGGATTTCAGGCTTTGGCGGCTAAGATTTCCAGGTCATCCGGGCTCAGGCTGTCGGGCTTTAGAGTTGTCGCTGTTGAAACTCATGCATTTCTCAGGTCAGGGACCTGAGGGTGTGAGGCTGGATAGCCAGCTTGTCGGGTGTAATCTTCGGGGTGGTTGGATGGGTTTGCCGCAGGATGCGGGTATGGCATAAGCAGATATAGAGGAGATGTCTTAAAAGAGTTATAGACAGGCATAGAATGCGTGAGATTATGCAAATACCGTGCCCATCGCTTGTAGCTCCAACTTAAGCATGTTGGCATCACTGATTTTACAGCTGCACTGACCAGCTTATGACGATACAGCCCATGTCGCACTTTGTAATCATGATGTATTCCACACCGAGTTTCAAGATGGCCGTTGCCAGGTTGTGCAAGATGTATGGTGGGCACATATCGCACGCCTATGTGCTTGCTTCCCGTGCTGTGGCTTCAATGGCGTGGGTGCAGGTTTGGGTTAATTAGGGTTCTAAGTTTGGGGCTTCATGTGTATGAGTTTGCGTCCTTACACCCTAAACCTGAAGCCTTGCAACCATATCACTTCGTCCAGATGGCACCGATGGCCCAAACCACTAATGCGCCAAAGGTGTGAAAGTGGAAGCCGTCGATGAAGAACAAAATTGAAATCCTGACGGTAAGTATTTGTACGCGTTAGAAGTAGGCATACGAGTAGGATAACCCGATAACCCCAGTTGGGATACTCACAAGGTATTAAACAACTTCTTACAGAACGCATGCCAACCACGCTGATCCTGCGATTATCCCTGTCAGCGACCTCGAAACCAACCTAACCCTCCCTGACCTAAGGTCACACAGGATCCTATTTAAATGGGTTTTGTATAAAAACTCTGTTGATGATATAGATCCTGCATCACCTTAAGGACCCTAAGCTATTGGAATTATGGTATATTCCTTACTATGGGTAATGCAAGGTTTATATCATCAACCTTAAACCTTAAACCCTAAAATCATCAACCATATTGTAGGTTCAGACGCAGAGAGTGGCGACCACCTGTCAGAGGCTGAGCCTGTTCTCGAGCACGAGAAGCGGCGCAGAGCTGCCAAGACGTGGAAGGTTCAATACCCCTTAATTAAGGAAGATAGCCTAAACCCTCATATGAAGACCCTTATAATTTAAGGTATACTGCTTAATCAAGGGGTATTGGGCTCTCTGGGGTCTTGCGGCAGACTCCGAACGATGCGAGAGATCATGGGACGCCGCCTAAACCCTAAACCCTAAACCCTAGCCCTAAACCATAAACCCTAAACCCTAAACCCTACACCTTAATTAAACCCTAAACCCCCCTCCCCCCCCCTCCTCCCCCCGGCCCCATGAAGCTGAACAAGTACCCGTGCTCAGGCAGATTCGGAGCGGGCCCTCTCCATTGCTGCCAGGTGGGGTTTCCTGAGTGTTTTCCTAGGGGCTGAGTAGGTAACCTTTAAGCCTTTTGGGGCTTATATAAACCTATTATGATTCAAAGCTTATATAAACCTATTATGATTCAAAAGGTTAACCTTTTCTGGGCTAAGGTACTCGGCCCCTAAGTTTTTAGTGCATCTCAGTCTAGGGTTTGGGGTTTAGGTGTTGAGGGCTTAGGGTTTACTTTAAATTGAGGGGTACACTAGGTACATACATGGGAACAGCACCCAGGTCACTCCGTTTCTGTAGAATTAGACAGCACAAGAGTTCTGTGCAAACTTGCTCTGGTGTTGGAAGCCAGGGTTGATAACTTTGGGAGTGGTTGCGATGACAGTGGGCGGATCTCTGTCGTTACGACGAGCCCTACGACTCGCAGGGCTTCTGAGAACCTTTCAGAACAAGGCCGCCATCATTGCATCTTTTGATAAGTTACACCAGACTAATGCTTCGAAGGTGCATTCTTGGGGTTTGCGTTGATGTGCCTCGGATTGTGCTTGTGGTGATAGGGTTGAGGGGTTCTGGTTGAAGCTTTATTGCCGAGGCTTTTTGCTTGACGCCGCCACCCTTCTGTCTCACACAGTTCAAAATCGTTCGAAGTTATGGTATACAACACGGAAGAAAACTCTAAGCTCCAATCCCAAATCCTAAACCTACGACCCCTGAACCCGTAAAACCCTGCAAACCCTACATACCCATGACCCCGAGTAGACCCCCTGAACCCCCCCCCCCTCCCCTGGTGAGGTGGCAGTATCCTTGCGCAGTCAAGGTGGGCTGCAGGGAGGGTCTTGAAACCCGAAGCATTATTGACTAGATTAGGGATGATTAGGGATTCGGGTGTAGGTAAATATGATATGTTGATACTATACTCAGGTAGGGACTCTAGGGGGATACTGATTTATATTTTTTCAGACCCCGCATATTCTTGAGTGTAGGAAGTCGAGACTTTAAACTTCGGGGTGTGCGGTCGAGGGTTCATAAGTTTTCGATTTGCTGATTTGTGGTTTAATGGGGTTCAAGGTTTAGGCTTTGTGTGGCTGAGGGTTTAGGGTTGTGGGTTTACAGTCCGGGGCTAGTTGGAGGCCTGCCACTAAAGCCAACGATTTCAAAAATAAACAAGACTGACGGCTCCAAATAGCAACAGCAAAAGATAACAGCATCAACAAATCAAGCCGCGGTTTCCCCCACAGAGATGACATGGGACTCAGATTGAACGTCCAAGCTGAATCCCGAATCCCGTGATCCACCTCCCTCGATTCCAAAGCACCCGAAGCAGACCCCTGAACCTTGAACCACACAGAGACTCCAAAACCATTCAAATAAGACCCTATCCCTAAACCCTAAACCAACCCCGGAACCCCTAAACCCTAAACCCCTAAACCCTGAACCCCTCAAGCAGTTCAACTTATGGATTCCTGAGTGAAGCGGTTTTGGGGTCTCTGGGCGCTCCAGGGCTGTGGCGATCTCCTCCTCATACCGCAGTGGGAAGCTTTCCACGGCCGGGTCGGCGAAAGTTGGTGCCCGGGCTTCTTCGGAAGGTTTGGTTTGATTAGGGTTCCTGCAGGGCTCTCCGGATTCAGCCATGTACCCACATAGTATATATATATATATAGATATATATGTATATATATACATATATATATATATATGCATGTCTGTATGCATGCATGTATGTGTGTATGTATGTGTGTGTATGTATGTATGTATGTATGTATGTATGCATGCATGCATGCATGCATGCATGTATGTATGTATACTTGATTCTAAAGTAGCTACATAGGTGCCCCTTCCAAGGCCAAAGTTGATGCCCGACGTACAGGTAGATGGACCCTTAGACGGACCGACTGGAGTTCAACGAAGCCCTAAGAGTTTCATGGCGAAGCTGGGAACCGAACACCAGACAGAGCATGGGATTTAGGGTGTGGATCCTGAAAGCTTTACAGCCTAAACCCTATAAACCCCTAAGCCCTACCTGTAACCGAAAAGACCTACCTTCTTAGGGAAGTATATATAGAAACCATAATAAGGAACCCTAAAACACAGGTAAACCTTAGGGCTTCTGGTTTTGGGTTGGCGGATTGGGGCATTAGGGCAAGATCTAGAACTCCTAAGGTGCCCCTTGTCGAATCGTCACGCTGGTAATACCCTTATAGAGACCCTGACTGTACCCCTTGAAGGAAGCCCTAGGCTAGTACCCATTGAAGGAAGCCCTAGGAATAGTGACCCTGTTGGCTACCCTTTAGAGTAACCCTTATAGAAACCCTTCTAGTGCGTAACCCTTTGAGGGAACCCTTCTACCCTTCTGGCAACCCTTATCGTAACCCCTTATAGTACCCAGTCCTACTTGTAGTATCCCTTATAGTTCCCCTGAATCTCTAAACCCTAAGACCTTTATACTGACCCTTGTAGTAGCCCTTATCGTACCCCTAAATCTCCAAACCGTGAACCCTTGATAATGACCCTTGTAGTAGCCCTTCTCATCGCCATTTAAAGGAGCCTGTCAGGGATGAGGCCCCGGGGTGCAGGTTGTAGGCTTGTCCCAGGGATTGCCTCGACAGGGGTCTTTTTTGGCGGCTTCTCGGTTTAGTTTAGGGTTTGGCGTTTTGGGCTTGGGGTTAGGGGTTGGGGTTCAGGGGTTTGGGGTTTGGGGTTTGGGGGATAGAATTTGGGTGTTTGGGTTTGGGGTTTTGTTTCTTAAGTTTTCTGACTTCCCCTGCAGTGCCGCTTGCTGGATTTAGGGCTCCGTATTTCAGCTTCAGAGGAACGAGGAAGGGTACCCTCCTAAAACAGAGGGGTATAATGCATTATATGTGAAGATATAGTTCTATATACATATAGCATATATATATATACATACACACACACATATATATATATATGTATATACACATACATACACATCACCTGCAGATAGGCCCTCGGCCCTCATCATTCTGCTAGGCCATCAAGTCCGACAGTTACAGTCATATGGTCATGGCCCGAGGTCGAATGGGGTCGGAATAATACATAATCGTACTCCCTTTTTAGTCCCTAAA